GAAATGAAGCGCTGATGAAATGGGAAGTGATAAGACTGAAAGGAAGACGTGGGAGTTTATCAAAAGAACAGTATTATTTCAAGCACCTCTGGAGTGATGATGTCTGGAGGTTTTTGCCGCAGCTGAAGAGAAAACATCCCCAGACCTTTAAAATCGCAGACTAAATATTTAATTTAGTCTCTCTCCAAGAAATGACGAAGCCTGTGCTTCTCATATCTTTGTTTGCTCATTGGTGGTTATCTGATCACTCGGGGGACGTCTACAGCTTTGTTCAAACAGTCCACATCATGAAGTGCCTCCATTTGGTAAAGTTAAACACACCAGTGGTTTGTATTGATCACTGTATATGTCTATCTTTTGCCACATGAGATCATCGCTTCCAAGAAATTTGCTGTGGCTACTGTGACACAGTGGAGGTGCAAAGGGAAAGTTTGCCTGAAAACACAAAAGCCAATAGAATCTACAAGATCTGAGATGTGATCAAAGGATGCTAATCTACCACCAGACGATATCGGAGTCATTCTTTGGAATGAGGGTTTGTCAGCTTGTCCAAATCATCAAAACCCTCATTGGGTGTTTTCATTGTCTTTGGTTGCATAGTTTTTCACTTTTCCATGTTTTTTCTGGACAGCAGTGAGAATCGTAGGAACACTTGGGTCGTGTGAAAGAGTGAGATTAATTTCTGTCAGAACCTTTCTCTGAATTGTGATCATTTCTATAAATGTCATTGTCACGGCCGCAGGAACATGAGTGTGGGACCCAGAATGAGAGGGAGGCAGATTAAAAGGAAGAACAGGTTTATTTGGGAATCCAGGGGAGTGAGAGGGGCACCAGGAGGCAGGTGAGGGATCCAGGGGCGAGGGTGGTGTGTCGTGCTGGTGCTCATGAGGGGAGAGGTGAGGTCCGTGGTGTCGGCGTGCAGGCTGGTGTGAGAAACTCGAATGGCTGGACGGAGGAGAAGCTGGAGGAACAGGGAGAAACTCAGGTTACTCGTGAGCTCGAGAATAATCACAAAGAGAAAACTTAGTTAATACAACTAAGTGGCCTGAATCCACCACGCTTGGGGGAGGCAATCGTCTGGCGTTGGAGCACAGGTGAACGGTGGCTTTATTCAACTCCCTGATTAGGATGATGAGCAGCAGCTGTGCCAGTGCAGGAGCGTCCTCCTCCAGATCAGCCCCGCCCAGCCCGAAACCCAAGAACAACCACACAAAAAACACAATCGCAGGAAAGAACAAAAACACACAGAACACGTCCGTATCACCACAGTCATCCTTTTTTTTTATATATGAAATGAGTGCTGTTGTAGTTGTTTTCCAGGTTGCAAAAAATATCAAACCATCAAAATATTCCTTCCTCTGCGTAATTTTAACTTAATCTTTAATTATTTCCCAAAACACTCACATTTAGAAGCCAGCTACATCCAATGTGACTGAAGCCCTATAGTGCATATTTAAAGGTCTGGGGTTCTTGCTGATGTTTAGATAGTTAGAATATTAACTATCGCTCTGGCTCCCCTTGAGTTAATTGATTTCCCTTTAACAGAGCCATAACTGTGTATAAACACCAGATTCTAAATATATTTAAATATATCACACCTAGTTTTAGGTGACTCACTGCTTTGTAATTAAGGTTGCAACCAGAGACATAATTTTAGTTCTGATTTTAAATCGTTGTCTTCACAGAGATCAAGAACGAGTCAGAATATAAACCAATATTAATGCTTTGCAGTTTCATTGTTGCAGGTTGCATCCATGTCTGTCTGATCATTGGGGGGAAAAACTGTCAAATTCATTTTGTTTGTTCACACGTTTGCCCAACAAAGCTAATTCTGATAAAACATAAAGTTGTAGCCCTGACAGCAGACAATGCTTCTAATCTGGATGCTGCTACCAAGAAGCTACAAATTCTAAAATGTGGACGCTTCACACATCTCGAACCTGCACAGAAGATCTATGAAGTCACTACACATAACAGGTGGATCCCCGAGTTTAGCGTCTCCAGTCCGACTAAATGTGAACTCTGTGGTTGAGTTATGATGTTGACAAGAGGCCAGAAAAATGTTTTTTTTTGCAAACAGTAAGATATCACAATGCAGCTGACCTTTTGATCTTTTGGGTATAAAATGTCGTCACTGCATCATTTTGTACTGTTAGACATTTGTGTTCCGTTTTTGTTCTACTTTGTACATGGATTCAAGTAATCATCAGCAATCTTTTGTTAGTTTTGTCATTGACAAAATCATTTGTAAAATAATTTATAAGGAGGATAAATTTCATTACCGGTGGGGATCACGACTCAGAGTGGGCCAAGATCCTCTGGCTGAATGTTGAGCTCTAAGTATTTACTACAGTTAGGGATTTTCTTATCATTGTTTTCCTTAAATGTGTCAGCACTCAAAGTGAAACAGCCTCATCCGGACCTCCATGTCTAAATGGGGACCACACCTGATAATATATTTACATGCAGAGAATGAAAGAGAATGTAGCTGAGAGCTTATATATTAGTGGAGTATCTTTTGAAGGACATGATGTTATGTTGAGGTCAATCGCATGATCTTAGCCTCAAGAAAAAACCCTAAAGATGTTCCCTAAACCCAACAATGTTTCTGATATTTGCCCCAGACAAACAGGTATTGTGACTCCCGCGTTTTCACTAGAGATGGGAAGTATGTTGTTGCAATTGTTAAAAAGAAAAAAGAAAAAAATTCTAAAGTGCTTTCTAGAAAGTTTAGTCCTACATATGAAGATACAGGGTGGGGTGATCATGGCTCCAGTGGTAAAGGGGGTTGGCAGAGCGTCCTCGGGGAAGATACTGAACCTCAAGAAGCTCCTGATGGCAGGTCTGTGTTGGTAAATGAGAAACACCTTATGAAGTGTGTTGTACAACCTCGCTAAGGTTAAAAGATCCTGTATAGATGCAGATAAGTTCATGGAATTTGTTGTTTGAAGTGATAAATGTTAGAGATTTATTCCCCTAAGACCGACGCTATTTCTGAAACTTTCCACATGGAAAAAAAAAAAAACATACCCAAATATATAACAGCTCCAGAGCTAAAAGTCTAAAATAAACAAGTTTGGACTCGAAGAGACTCTTTGAAATATGTACTGAATATTAAACAGCTTGTTGTGTTGCAGTATGGTCCTGATGGTAAGAGTCAACATAGAAAATTAAACCTAACAACAGTAGCACATTTTCCTGAGAAAATTCAAACTATATCACCTCACTTAACAAAACCAACACTTCCAGTTGCCCAGTCCCTCCTGCAGCAAAACACCCCCACAACATGATGCTACCACCCCCGTGCTTCACAGTAGGGATGGTGTTCTCAGGCTTCAAGCTTCCCCCTTTTCCCTCCAAACGTAATGATGGTCATTAAGGCCAAACAGTTCAGTTTTAGTTTCATCAGACCACAGGACATGTCTCCACAAATGAAGGTCTTTGTCCCTGTGTGCATTTGCAAACTGTAATCTGGCATTTTTTATGTTGCTCTTGAAGTCTTCTTCCTCTCTGAGTAGCCTTTCAGCCCATATCGGTCCAGGACTGGTTTCACTGTGGATAATGACTCTCTTACCAGCTTCAGCAGCATCTTCACAAGGTCTTTAGCTTTTGTTCTGGGGTTGATTCGCACATTTCACACCAAAACGCTTCATCTCTGGGACACAGAACTCGTCTCCTTCCTGGCTGAACATTCCCATGATGTTTATACTTGCATATAAATGTTTGAACAGATGAACGTGGAACCTTCAGGCATCTATAAATTGAACCCAAGGATGAACCAGACTTGTGGAGGTCCACAATTCTCTTCCTGATATCTTGGCTGATATCTTTAGATTTTCCATGTTGTCACACAAGAGAGCAGTGTGTTTGAGGTGTGCCTCCAATTAACTCAAATGTTTCAATTAACCTATCAAGAGCTTCCCAAGCCATGACATCATCATCTGGGCTTTCCCAGATAGTTTGAAGGCATAGCAATCTTAGTGTATGTAAACTTCTGACTTTGAAGAAAGTAATACAAAAAAATTTTTAAAAAATCTCCTTCTCTCATTATTCTGGCGTTTAGCAAATAGAAATAATTTTGGTAATCCTAACTGACCTAAAACAGGAAAAGTTTGGTCTGATTTAATGTCAGACAGTGAGAAATAAAAAAGGTTATGTGTCTTTTTATACCGTGTATGTAAACTTTTGTTGTCAACTGTACATGAAAGTTGACTTTATAGAAACCTGTCTTCAGGTTTAACATTCTCCCACCGCTTCTTCAGCTCTAACTTGTAAATGACATCAGATGTGAATCTCTGCAGCTCTTTCTGGTGTCCAGCGATTTAATTCAAAAACAAGAAAGAAATGAATCAGTTGCTCATGTTTATTAGAAAGTCTAATTCATTTTTATTTCCCTGTTACCCAGATGAAACACAAATTTCAGCAATCCCAAATGAAACAAAACAAAAAAAATAAAAACAGCTTGACAAGTACATTCCTTTTCTTAACAGCTGGAAATTGTGTGTTCGAGGCAATGGGTCCAGAAGTGCACTTAACATTACATTAATGTTTGCATCCGAGCAGTTGGTCGCTGTCATTTAAATACACACACTGCTGTACGTGACCTGCGTAAACATTGCTGTGGATTCTGTGACGGTGAAATAGTGAAGTGATGATTCCACAGGGATCAAGTGAGTTTGAAAACACTATAAGCCAATGTTGCTATGTGAACGTGGAATGTTCAAAACAAAAAAAAAAAAAACACATATGTATAAAAAAAAAAAGATTACTGCATTGAGTAATGCCGGTCCTGCATGTACTGATTTAATACTAATCTCCGTCCAAGATATTCATATATGTTTCTTGTTTAATTAAAAAAAAACAACTGCATTTTAAAAAATATGAAAATTCATATGATGTCATTGTTCCAGAAAAGATGACTTTACAAAAACTGAATGCACTTATAACAGCTCCATCTGTCAAACAAACTTACTACGTAGCACCAGTAGGTTAAAACAAATCATGCAGCAAATCGTGTTGCCTTTCTTTCTTGTTGTTAAAAAGACTACTTCAAGAATGTTGGGGATAAAGTTCATGTTTGTGGAATCCAGTGCAGCCACCGTTGCTTTGGTATTGCATCCTTACAGTATGGCCATTTTGGATGGTTCTCCTCAGCATCCCCTACACAGAGGTAAAAGCTGGCCATGTCTGTCACTTTTGTCCTATGTTCTTATTGAAGCAATGACTCCTTGGTTGACCGGTGCTGGGGATAAATGGAGAAGAAAAGACGTGGTTAGCCCCTTTTTTTTTTTAGTTTACACATGACAAGTAACTCTTCAGTGTTGCAAACTTGAACCTTTTCTTTTATCTTTGGAGTCAATTTGACCCCATTCAATGTTTAACGTCTCTAAATACGCCATTGACATCATCTTTTCAGTTTTATTCTATTTACACATGAACTTGGGTAACAGTTTTACTTGTGATCATTTTCTGGAGGTTTAATTTGCTGGACTCAAATTGAACCCAAGGATAAAAGATGTCAGTAAATGTGAAGCTAACAGGAGGGTTAAATATTGTCTGATGCATAATGGCACCAGGCCAGTTTATTGTTTGTACAGTCGTCCTCAAATGTACTCATGCCCTCCCATGAAAGATGGAAAAAAAACTGTCTGTCTGGGAAAGTTTTGTTGTTTTCTTTTTTAAATATTTTTAAAATTATTCTTTTCAACCACCATTCAAAAGCAACACCTTCTTTCACTAAATTATAATTTAGCAAATTTTTATTTATTATTACTTTTTCAGTTTCTAGTTATTTGAGTGACTATTGTGATTTTTTGTCTTTCTTTAATGAACGGGTATGAATACATTTGAGGACGACTGTATGTCTTTAAACCAATCACAGTCGTACCGGGCAGCAAAGCAATCAGTGTCCTGTCTAAATAGTTAGAGAGGGAATTGTTTGGTGGAACATCTGCATGCAGAGAGATCAGCGCTGTCATTGAAATTGATAATTTACTGAAAAACTAGCAAGTGTTGCATGATCTACAGAGGTCCGTTAAGATCCCCTCATTCTTTCTACCGCCATTGATACTCAGTGGAAGCAAAAAGTGTACACTGTATGCTGTTCATCTATTTTCTTCGTCAGAATTTGCAGAACAGCTAGACCCAGTTTTTGAAGAGCTTTATACAACGTTTTGTGCACGTGGAGTTGTGCTCGGAAACATTTGTGATCATTAATCGTTGGAATTTCTCTTTAAGGATATCCTACAAAAACTCTGTAATTACAATATGTAAGCAGATGAATGACGACACACATTCGTACCAAATGATCTGAGAAAATGCATGGAAGTGTAGTGTATCCACTGACAAATACTTTGTCATAGCAACTTCTGTATTTCAAAATGAGCGTCTCATAATTAGAAAACCATTTTTATTCTTTTGCGATTACTAGATGCTAAACTCATTATTACAAAATCTATATAATCTAGTAGTGAAGCTATATGAGCTGATTTTGTGGAAGCCTGGTCGGTTCAGACAAGTTTAACCATCAGCATGTAAAAAAAAACAAAAAAAACAACCTGGAAATTGTGATCAGTCCAGCTGCAGCCTGTGACAAGTTATCACTAGATTACATTACTTCAGAAACAACTTTATTCCAAGTTTCTTTGCCTCAGCAAACAGGGAAATGGTTCCCAATGCCAGGCTACTGGGTTGGGAGAACACAAATCTGATTCTGTAAAAGGCTAGATTAGGATTTCATAACTCTAGAACTCTGGCTGCGAATAAATTTAAAGAAGATCATCTGAGACGTTCAAGATTCTTCACGACGGGTTTCCAGCAGTTATTGGAACTCCTGCAGCAACACCATTCAGCTGCTTCCCTTTATTTGGCAGTTACCTGTGCATTAAAAAAAATACTAATAATAGGAACAAGACATGTACCTGGTTTTCCACAAGCTGTCACACACTGCTCATGCGTGTCGAAGCGATTCTGGTTTCCACCGCAGCCTCCATACCAGAAGCGAGTGCAGCTCTTGCTGGGGGTGTCATAGTGCCACTTCAGGACAAATTTGGCGCAGGTACCTTCTTCTTTAGGAAGCTGGCAAATGTCCACAGCTGTGGAGGCCGCTGGAGAGGAAATAACAAAGAATAATAATCAATGGAAAAAAAAACATGCAATTAGAGGGTAATTACACTTTGTGTATTACATTAGCATGTGGCGTGATCAGCAGTAAATCTATCATTACCATTATAAATAATGACTCGTGATGAAGAAATGATGATTTTTGCCGTTGACCTGTTTGTGTTGTGGGGAAAAATCCCTACAATGGAATTAATCATTTCAAGGATAAAAGCCAAATCGCTTCCAGCACAACAGACTTTTTCCACAATCATGAGACGCAGCACATTTGGTTCGAAGTAGATTTTGTATAGCTACAAGTATCTCGAGACAATTTACGCCAGCGCTGACGAGCTACTGACAAATTGAACTTGCTTTGCGCGAGGACGGCTGCCAAGAAAACAATGAAGCAGTGAACAAGGCTTTCCATTCATTTTCTCCGCGGTTATGACTTGGCTCGCCACTGCGACAAAAGCACAACCTTCTCAGTTTTCCTTTGCTTGGCTTTTTGACTTGTTCCGTCAGTCATTTAGACCATCTGAGGGAGAACAGAGGAGGCGGGCGCGTTTGCAGTGGAACACAAAGGAGTTGTTGTTTTCTAAAATGCAGTTTGTGGAAATTGAATTATGTAATATGATGAAATATTCAAGACCGGTGACATGATGTCCGCCCGTGTGCCCGAAATGAATGTTGGTTTAAATGGTTTGATTGAAATCACATTTTGATGTGAGTTTTGCTTGTTTAAAAGTAGATCAAAAGGAGAGTGCTTTTCCTTCCTCTCTGACGGTTTTCATAGAGAACACGTGCACCCACATTTAAGTCAGTTATATCCTGTAACATAACTTGCTCACAGAAAAGTACTCGTGCTATTTAAAGGCTTCGTATTATCAGTGAGTGTGTGTCGGATCTCACCGGGAGCCGGGAGGATCTCCACCTGTTCAACCTGTTGCACCTTTGGCTGAGGCTCTGGCACTGTAGAAACAAAATACACACATTTTCATCTTGAAGCAGCACATCTGCAGTTGTTCAACAAGGAGGATTTTTATGGCAGGTTGATTTTCTTTTACTACTTATCATATGAGCATTTTATCCACATTTTGTCCAATGCCAAGTTAATCAGAACCCAATTAGTGGCAGTTTATATGTCAATTTTACTCTTAGCCTTAGATGCTCTTTCACATAAATAACAAAGCCAACAGCTGTATTTTGTCGGTTGAAGTGACGACTGTTGCTGGATTTAGTCGGCTGTAACTAGCGAGTGAAAGATAAAACTTAGTGAATTAGTCCAAAGCTCAATTTACAGTAAATATTTTTAATTGATTTGTTTAAGAATCTCATAAAAAAGCTCTCATACATTATGTTCAGTTAAAAGACCAAAGGAGAAAAAAGCTGCATAACCAAGGATAGAGGAGTTTGCAAGGTAGAGTTAATTAGCCCTAATATTACAGTACAGTGTTTTAAATAAGAATGTCCCATTAGAATATTTGAAAATAAAACTACACAGGCAACACAGGAATTCTTTTTAAAACTATTTTTCACTTAGCGGGATTGATTTGCCCTCTTACATGGTATGAAATATCTAAAAACGTCCTTTCTGAGCAGAAATCCACATTTGACATTTGAGTTGTAAAGTGTTTTTTCTGGTAATTTTATTATTTTTGCGATATAATGTGTATATTCCCAAACAACCTCACTTGCTAAATGGTTATCGACAGAAACGCTGATGTGAGCACTGCCTACCTGCAATGTTCTCACAACCTCAGTCCTTGATTATAGTTTGGGCTGTTTTAACATGTTAATAAAATCAAAGACAGGCCTGGATATCCTCGGTCATTCCTCCCGACAGCAATAAGACTTTTTAATGCGTCAATCTAAGCATATTATCATTTGCACATTTCAGTATCTCTCTCATGTATTCTTATAAGTTTGTTGACTTTTTCTGTATTATATTTCCTACATCCATCCATCCATTATCTATACACCGCTTATTCCTCACTAGGGTCATGGGGGGCTGGAGCTTATCCCAGCTGACTCAGGGTGAAGACAGGAGACACTCTGAACAGGTCACCAGTCTATCACAGGGCTACACTTAGAGACAGACAACCAAGCACACTCACATTCACACCTACGGACAATTTAGAATCACCAATGAACCTCAACATGTTTTTGGACTGTGTGGGAGGAAGCCGGAGAACCCGGAGAGAACCCACGCTGCACGGGGAGTACATGGAGACTCCACACAGAAAGATCCCGAGTGTCCTCATCAGGAGGCAAACCGGTGACCTTCTTGCTACGAGGCAACAGTGCTAACCACCGAGCCACCTTGCAGTCCATATTTTCTAGATTTTTGTCTTGTTTTTTTTAACTTTATTTATACCCTTCCCTAATATTCTGTGTTGCCTTTTTGCTTTGTTGAATATTGCTGCTGTAACAACTGAATTTCCCTCTGGGATAAATAAAGTCAGTCTAATATAGCTGCTAATACTGATCACTGGGGGCACAGTTTAGCAAACAGTCCATTTTTTTATCTCGAGTTGAAACGCATAATATGCTGCATTAAACCAGGCACTGGCAAATCCCCGCAGACATCCTGGCAGCAGCAAGGACCACTTACCTGACCTCATGCAGTTTTTCAAGCAGAGGGCCTCAGTCTCGAACCTATTCTCATTGCCTCCACAACCTCCATACCAGAACTGTGTACAGAACCCGTTCTTTCTGTCAAAGAACCACTTAGCCTGATAGTCTTTGCACGGTATTCCAGGGTCATAGTCAAGTGAGCATGGGTCTGCAAATTCATTAACTAGAACATGCAAAAAAAAAAACGAACAACAAACAAACAACAAAAAAAACAAAAACATGAACAACAGCAGTGGTGGAGGACAGACAGGGAGAGAGGATGAGTTTGGGTTAGGATTAAGTGTTCAACTACATAGCAGATAGTGTGCTGTTAAAAAGTTGCAGGTCATAAAATCATATGAGAAGTTTAGGGGTGTTTACCAAATGAGTCTTTCTACTGACAGAGGAAAAGAAACAGCATTCAACATGACACTACGTTCTATAAAGGGTGACTGCATTACTAGGATTGTTTTTGCATTTACATTAAAAGTTGTCAGTGGAATAAAAGAGGATTAATTCCAGGTTTTCGCAGGTGAAGTGTGAAAAGTTAGTTCTAACTACAATTACTGGTAAATGTTAGTTAATTTTAGTTAACTAAGATGTGCATGACCGTGTGGTCCGGGCTAGCTTTATGTCACCAGAAACACTTCTTCGTAGCCAATTATGACAAAAATCATCTTGCATTTTCAGTTAATTCCTTTCCAGAACAGTGCTGTGTAAACTGCAGAGCCCTTCTGGCTTACGCTACGATAGCACAGCACTCATTGCCTTCTTTCAAAATGAGGGCAGAGTTGTTATTTTCAAAATCATAAGTGAATGACAGCAGGGCAGTTGGAGAAGCCTGGCTCTTCAAAAGGTGAATTTATGACGAGTAAAGACACTCTCATGTTTCACTTGTACTTTACATTGCGAGGCTTCAGTAAGAAGCAGCAGCTGTAAGGCGTCATCATCTTCACTGCTTCTATTTTCTAACTAAATAAAATGTTCCCTAAAGTCCCACATATTTCAGCCCCAACTGACACGTTTGTCACAACACGTTCTGGAAAAGATTTAATCTACAAACCAAGACATCAAGAGAGATGTAGATTTCGCAAGTTGTCCTGAATGGCCTACAGTGTAGTTTGGCTTGTACCCATAACTTAATTAATTGCACATTTGTGTAGTAGTCCTCAGAGCACTGGAGCCGAGCACATTCGGTTGTTTGAGTTGAAGCTTCAGGTTTTATTTGTATGACTTGGAACCTGAGCCAAACATACAATACTACACGAGCTAGCTCAAGGACAAAACATTGTTAGAACTTCTTGGTTACCTGTCCAGTGTACTGCTGTTCCAATACGTGAATGCAGGATGAGGTCAGAAGAAATGTTAATAAAAGTTGCCCAGTCACTTACCAGTTTCTGGTTTGTCCAGTGGTGTGGTATTTACAGTACTGCTGTCTTGGCTGACTGGCTTGTGCTCTGCTGCTTCTGTGAAGTGAAACAAGCAGTCAAAGGGAGAAAATAGTGAGCCACTTGATATTTTGATTTAATTTTTCTTTAAAAGGGCCTATACAGATTTGTCACAAGAAAGGAAAATGAAAACAATAATTTGAAATGTAAATGTATCTGATATTGTCACTCTCTATTCTGAAATTTATCTAAACCTGTTTTTACCAAAATCTCTTATTTACAAAAATAGTCAGATCCTTTACTGTGGCGCTCCCAGTTGTGATCATGTCCACCCTGTGTGCTTTAATTGTCACTAGCATGTGTCTACACCATAAGCCCACCTGTGTAAACTGAGCTGATCTGGATTGAGTTTAGCGAGGCACATACTTGTGTACATAATGCCTCACATTTCTTATTGCATGGCAGATCTAGACCTCCATAACAAAACTGTGGTGAAGCATAGATCAGAGCAAGAGTATAAAATCATTTCCACTGGTGTCGTGGCCTCAGTAACTGTGGAATGGAAAAAAAACAGAACCACCACTGCTCTTAAAATGCACATGGTGGCCCGCTTAGAGTTTGTAAAACTGCATTTAGCAGATTCTGAGAGCAACAACATGTCTGGTAAACAGAAGGCACGACTAATCAGCTGCCAATATAATCTCTACAATGAAGCATGGCAGTGGCAGCATCATGCTATGGTAACACTTTTAAGCAACAGGGAGGACTGGTCAGAACTCAGCAAAGGATAAAAGCAGCCACATAAAGAGAGGTCCTTTAAGAAAGCCTGCCAGAGCAATGGTGCCCCTTTCAGCAGCCTGCAGAGACTTAACCAAGAAGCCTAAAAGCTGTAACACCTGCCAAACTGGCTTCTCCCAAAAAAATGAAAGAAGGATCTGAACATTTTGCAAAGGAGACACTTCAATTCTGAATTTACATGTTTGCAATTTGTCATTATAGATTATTAAATGTCAACTAATGGGCAAAATTTTAGCAATTTATAATTAAACCTACAACACGTACTCTGCAAACAAAAGCAAAGTGGTCTAAAAGATTCTAGAGCAGCTGTCGGTGTCGATAGACTTACTGGTAGTGATGATGCCCTTGCGGGTTGAGACAATTTGACCTTCTGATGTGTAAGCAGTCACCACAGCATGATACGTTTGAGAGCTTTCCAAGTTGTCCACAGAAAGCTCTGTGCCTGACACGTTGGTCTTCAGCACCAACACATGGTCGTGCAGTCGCGTCACGGCTACCTCAAAGTAGACAAAGAGCTTGGGGTCTGGGCTGCTCCAACGCAATTTCAAGCTGCTGGAGGTGACATTGGAGACGTGTAGCTCCTCTGAGTCTGAAGGGTGAAGACATAAAGGTGTCAAAAAAAGTGCAGTAAAATCACAGAAGACAAGAGCTGTTTTGGAAGAGTGTAAGAAATAATGTGTCCAGCCATATATTTAGGGTTTGTATCAGTGTTAATTTTGACAAGAATTTTTAATTTAATTTTAGTCTTAGACACTCACTAAAGACAGTCACATTTTAGTCTCTTAGTTTTATTTTGTTTTAGTTAAAATTTAGTCTGGGATAATCAGTTTTAGTCTCATTTTAGTCTTTTTAAGTATTTTGACAGTTTTGTTATACTGTAATAGATTTTGCAAAAGGATGTTTGTCATGTTTGTCCATTGTAAGCATATCTATAACTATGTTTAAGCATCTAAACCAGTGGTTCTCAAATGCTTTCTGTCAGGCCCACCTTCGGAGGACAAAAATCTTTTTCAGTTGTAGCACTGGTGCCACCCACTTTCTACATTGGTCGCACCAGCTAATGATCTGGTCGCCCCACTCCCTTACTTTGGTTCAGCATTGCCCCAGCTATTAATCCACCATGCATGATGATGAATAGCTGTTTTTGCATAACTTAGTTATAACTTAGATTTTCAGTGATACAAAACTTGACATTTGTAAAATGTTTTAATCCTAAAATATATGTATGTTGTCAACAATCCTCATCTAATATCACTCATTAACACAGACTAAACAATTGCTGAAAGTGCCCATGGGTAGATGGTACATTTTACCGATGTTCCCTGAACGCCTCACATGCTGCTCCGATAGATGCTACATTTTACAGATGTTCCCTGAACGCCTCACATGCTGCTCCGGTAGATGCTAGCAGGTGTCTGCAGAGCAGCTCCTCTGACAGGTGAGCGACCAAATACAAAGCGCGTTCTACACAAATTTGCCCACAATGAAAAGTTTTCTATGAGCAGAGTTTTTAAATTATTATTATTATTTTTTTATTTAGTTTTATGAACGGACTTTTCTACGAGCTGAGCGCCTTTTAAATGTGCGTACTACTGTCCATCATGTTTATAGAAAAACTATGCTCGCAGTTAAAATGTACAGCCGTGGAGGCGCCACACAGTTTGACAAACACTGACTGCACAGAGCAGGGGTGTCAAACTCTGGCCAAATTTGGCCCGCTTTGTAATTATATTTGGCCGCGAGACAATACCAAATGACTACTACAGCTGACCCCGGTATTATACTGTACAGCGCACTCACCGCTAATACTACAAATCCCATAATGCCCTGTTGTTGTTTTGGCGCGTCAATCAGGACAGGACCCAGAAACTCCCTCTCCTCTGTGACAGTAAGCATAGCAACTTCACACTACAACTGTCACTGTGCCATTGATGTGTTTTTTTATTTATAATTTGATTTTGCATGTCTCCACTATTAAGTTATATACAATGTATGGTAATAAGCGCTGCTTGTTCCATATTCAATGTTAAAGCAAAATTAGTTTCAGTCCTTATTAAAAGGTTCATTTGTTCAATGTTGGCCCGTGACTTTGTTCAGGTTTTAAATTTTGGCCCACTGTGTTTTTGAGATTGACACCCCTGGCACAGAGGATGGTTGTAATCCAGACTGTCAGACCAGCGTCATCTTTTTCGTCACGTCTTTACTCGTTCTTGTCACAAATTAGTCGCGGAAAAAAAGGGTCGTCAACGAAAAGTTTTAAGTTGTCGTTGACCAAATGAACACTGGTTTGTATATCTATAGTAAAGGACAGAATGAATCTGAAAGAAACGTGAACAATGCATACTGGTTGCTACCTGACTTGTTGGCTGTACTATGCATGACTCACAGTGAAGCAAAAGGCAATAACCAGTCCAAACAACAGTTTAAGCTGCAGAAGAAGCTGAAGCTTATTTCAGTACATCCACACTCTTACCTTTGTGCTTTCTTTGATGAACTGCTTGCTGAATTTCATGATGTTTCTGATGCTTCCTGTAAATTGTGAACAAAATCATGAATGTTTCTAAGAAATGAACAATAAACCAGTCTTAAAAAAAGAATTAATCAATCACACAACTTACTCCTGCTGCTGTGATGATGTGAAGGGGTTTTTTAGTGGCTGGTCACTCTGGAACCACTTGCAGTTTTTGGAGACTTCAGGTGACATGTAGAAAGCATTTTCAACTGAAAAGCAAAGTAACACAAAACACAGCAGCAAGTGACTTTGTTAGACTGACGCAATTATTGGCATTAATTCTAAAATATTACATATTGAAGAACACAAAGGGATTACAAATCGATGACTGGAACTGATATCTATCGTGAACTTACTGCTGATGTACTTTGGCAGCAGCTGGCCAAAGGTCTGGATGTGTTTGTCGTAAAAGTGTGAGATGCTGTCCAGCCGCTTCATGAAGACATCCGAAGGCTCGCTGACCATACGTGACAAGACGCGAGCATCCGCTGCACTCAGAGTTTCACCCACAGCAAAAATGACCACGAAGTAGCCTCTGCATTTGACCTCGGTGGCAATACGAACAAGTTGCTCCTCTTCTTCTTCCACACTTCCCGTCACAAAGAGCATGAGCACCTTCTTGTCACGTTGCAGAGGCGCTTTCTCGAACACCTGCTCCACTGTTGACTCGATAGCTGCTCCCAGCGCGCGGCCGCCCTCCAATTGCGGCGTCTTCTCCAGGAGGAATTTGACAATGTCCTGAGATGAGTGGTGCTCAGTCAGGCCGATGTCCACGTGGATAGGAGAGCCGGTCTTGTTGTAGATGAACTCGTAAGGTGCTTGTTGGATCACAGACACTCTCGCGTGGTGAACGGAAGATGAGGGATTTGAAGACACGTGAAGCCGATCCACCATGTGAGCTATGTAGCGTTTGATCTCAGCAAAGACTGTTGGGTAGGTAGACTCAGAGCTGTCCATGACGAAAGCCATGTCAATGTCCACGTCTGAGGTGGAAGACCGTCTGTCTCGGGTGCCCGATGGGGGGATGTAGTCACATATTTGGTCTGGAGAGCAGATATCTAAAAAAGAAATCATTATCATTACTACATCATTTTGAAAAATGCTTCAAAACTATGATTAGAGTCAAGTTTTTTTTGTTTGTTTGTTTGTTTCCAATGCAGCACATCTGAAGTCATGCTTAAAAAATAAATACAGGACAAATAATGCAAAAATCCCCAAGTTTCTTAACAGAAAACAAATCATCTCAAAAAAAGAAAATTTTTTTTTTTTTCGTATCTCTGAGACAACAAATCTGGATAACACTCAACAAAACAAAAACAATATCAATGTACACAAACAAATCTGTTACCTAGGCAGACATGGCAGTTCATAACTTTTTGGAGGACTGAGTTGTACTGTGAACTTCCAGGGTTGGGCATGACGATTACTTGGGCCAGTACTGTGTTATTGACCTGGTGTGAAAGAAGAAGGAAAAAAATGTTGAAAATACAACGTATGTTTTTCACTGAAGGCGTGAACTACGCCTGTCCTATAAAGATGAAGTTTTACTTTTAGGCATCAGTCGGCTTTTGTTCTACCTGCACTGCTCTGCTGAGTGCTCTGTCGTCACGGTTGACCAGCAACAGAGTGGCGATTCCAGCGTCATGGAGGCGGAGAGCTGCGTTAGTAATTCCTTGCGCCTGACCGACTTGATCACCGACAAAGAAGACGGCCACCTTCCTCATAAGGAAACCACTACGCACTCTCTTGAAGGTGTTCTGGGCCACAAAGCTCATGGCTGTTTCCAAGTTGCGTGGCTTTCTTGTCTGTGGGATCTGCAGACCTTCAATGCGCTCCACCAGGGCACGTTTCTTCATTGCATCTGCGAAGCGGACCTCGGTGGTCACTTCATTGTTGTACAAGGTCAAAGCAACACGAGCTCCTCTTGGACAGTTGCTCTCTGCGATGGTTATGTCTTTGACTAGGCGCAGGACGGTGTCACGCATGCTGTTGAAGGCTGGACGGCCCAGGCCCTGAGAGACGTCCAGGGCAAAGGCCAACTCAGTGGGGTACAGGGGGCATTCCTGCTGACCTAATGGTGTGCACATAGAAGATTTGGTTCTTTATACAGTAGTGGATACAGTACATACACAGTAACTCAAGAGGTATTGTTCAATGAAAGCTATTTTGGTACTTACCATAGCAGCAAGCTGGTAAAGAAAATAAAACAAAACATGGTAAGATATTTTTGTAGCATGGAATACATGGACATTATTACTTTTAAAAATCATTAAACGACATTGAAAGATATTCAAAGATATTATTTATACTTACGGCAGTTTTCTCTGATCTTCTTGACCAGGTCACATTGCTGAGGGGACAACAAGACATTAAACTTTTATACCCTGTTGATGTGTCCATATTATGTTTTTTATAGTGGAGGATATATCATGAGCAAAATAGGTAGTCAACACCATGGCTGAACATTTCCATCTTGAAACTTAAGCATACTGATGACAATCTTAAATGCAGTGTAATCCAATCCTTGGTTGGGGCTTAGTCTGTCAGTATTCAGTATTTGTTTCTGGTTTGAACATGCATGGCTGAATTACTCCAGTATTACAACTTGCTGTTGTGTAGTGTTGAGAAGTTTTACAGTGTTTGAGCAGAGCTGTAGCTGTAGCTTGGACTGCAGCAAGCGAGGAGAGGTGGGTGACGATAGAGGCAGGGCACCAATTTGCATAATCGTTGTTGGCCCATAGTAAGGGGGCAAATGTGTATAGTTTGATAGAACATATTTTAAGGCATGAAGGAATTAATTTCATAGAAAAAAACCCCATCCACATTTGCACTTCTTATCATCACAGATGAGGTTTTAAGGGTTTAATCAATGGCAGTAGTGGGACTCTAAGAAATCATATTGAGACATCAGTGAAATTAGTTTTGCTCTATCATTCAGTACAACTTATTCCAATAAATGTACACGTACCACGACGCCTGGTCCCCTCGGTCCTTTCAAACCCTGTGGCACAAAAACAGTTGCATTAACAGCTGACAATGGATGGAGGAACATCCTGCCCGACAAAACATTAGATTTTGTAATTCTTATCCTACACAACAAAGGTATTTTCTGAGAACCTGTGACAAATTTAATGATCATGCAGTTTGCAGTCACAAAAGTTTCAAATCCATAACGAGACACAAGCAACAGACCAGTCAAGACACTATATAATGTAAATCATAATTACATTTTCTGCTGTGGTGGCACCATGTCATTGAGATTACATTTAAAGAACTTGTAAACAAAGTATAGAATTTTGTGCTTACGTATGGTCCAGGGTATCCAACTTCTCCCTTCTGTCCGGGTGTACCGATACTCCCAGAGACACCCTGGAAAGAATTATCAGTGAGCTGAAGGAATTCACTTTGAAAGCAATTCAGCTGTCAGTAGTTTGAAACAGAGCTCTCTCTTCAAAGACTGAAATACACTAATGTGCATGCAACTCATTCACTGCCAAGAATGCATGCTATATGTTTGAACCAAAACTTCAAAAAACAGGCCTCTCGTGTATCACACCAAACATATGTGTGCAGCAAAGTTCTGGAACAAGCTGTGTTTTCTCAGCATTTGCAGTGTGAAATCATGTGGCATATTATGTGCACGTAGCAAGTTTACTTAATCAAAATGCAGACTTAAAACTTACTCTCTGTCCACGATTTCCTCTGGGTCCAGGGCCGCCCTGGGTGCCAGGATCCCCACCTGCTCCCTGAGATTATAGAAGAGATGGAAATGCAAATGACCATCATCAAAAGGTAGGCCCTAATCACCTGAGTGTTTACCTCAATCCTCTATTTTGCAAACCCTGGATAAAATTTCACTTCAAGGTTTGTGTTTTCCATTACCTTGGGTCCTGGGAATCCTGGGAAACCCTCATCACCCTGAAAAGAAACATTTACGTACACTTTAGGTATTATTTGGTTCATAACTATCACAATGTATTAGTGGTTTACTAATAAATCATCATGAAATGCATCAGAGCCATCCCCCTCTTTATAGCTTCACTCAATATTACACAAGGAGTGAGTGCAGGAAAAGACTTTGATGTCTTTAATTAAGACACACTTTAAGTTTACCACATACAAGACATCAAAAATCACTTGCCTTTCTTCCTTTAGGTCCTAAAACACCGAACCCATCTCTACCGTCTTCACCCTAAAAGGAAGAAAAGAAAAAAGTGCTTTTTGCCTTTTTCCCAACAAACATTATATACGCTGTTACTGTATAGTACCAGTCAAACACACAAAATAAGAAAACCCTCAACAGAACCGTCAGTACCCTGATTAAAAACACACCGCATACTTCCTTAGATATAAAATCCACAGTGACATAAATCATAACAAGGGTTGAAAGAAATTGCTTCTCAGACTTGCAGCCCAATTTTAGTAGCAGGTTCTGCTGCCAAGACGGTGTTTCCCAATTATTCAATAGTCATCTAAGCAGCCTGATTACAGCATGTAAGTCTGATATTTTTACTTGTGAAGTGTTTATTTTGTTCATTTTCCAACAGTCTTACGTAGAGTGATGATGCAAATAAGATGATAATAAAAAAGGATGTTGTTTCATTCTTACTGGCTCTCCACGGGGTCCAAGGGATCCAACAACACCCTTAGGTCCTGGGTCTCCTGGCTCACCCTGCAATGGCACAGAGATAAACAGATACAGAGAATGAGACAAGGACAGAACTAGTTTAAGATTTAAAGAGAATGTGAAAGCTTTAAAATAAGAGTGAAATACATCCTTCAGCTGTTAGGTCAGATTTAATTAGGCTCATATGAATTCTTTGCAGCAGGGACCTAATGTTTTCTTACAGTACTTTCCTGTTTGCTCAAATAGATTACACATGTGTGTCCAGTAATGCGAGAGAGCCTGGCTTAGGCCATTGTGTTTTGAAATGAAACAAGCCTGTTATGGAAGCCACACCAAATTACACTCCATTCAGTACCTTGCGACCAAGAGCTCCTCTTCTACCCTTCTCGCCAGCAGGGCCAGGGCTTCCTCCGGGACCCTAGAAAATAAAACATTGATATATTAGAGTTAAATTTAAGATGTCTTAAGATAGAAAACTTCAGCTATTAGCTTCACTTACCCTAGGTCCAGGGTTCCCATCTTCTCCTCTTGGTCCTGGTGCACCATTTGGTCCAGGTGGACCCTTGAAAAAGACAAGCCAGACGTCCATCATGCACCATTTTTTTTTTTCACTTATTAGAGCTGGATTGCCAGCCCATGCAATAGGAATGAAGTCACTTGAATGGATATATAAATACTGCAGTGACAATCCAGTCAAAAATAATTTGTCATGTAACAACTGCAGCCAAGAAAACTATTAAAAGTCCTATGACGGCATTTGCTATGAGACGTGTTTTGGCAAGTGTGCTTGTAAAGTGAATAATCTGCCAAATATTGTGAAGAACTTACTCGAGATCCTCCCACACCAGACTCTCCCTGCACACCATCACCTCCTGGCCTTCCGGGATTTCCCTTTAATGCCATGCAAGCAACAAAATGTTAATAATTTCCATTATACGACTTATTCCAGTCAGTTATAAATACTAAAAATTAACACCAGAAAGGGACTTACAGCCTGTCCAGGTGGGCCTCTTCTGCCATCGGCTCCCTAATGAAATAATAGTAGGAAAAGGAGTTGGTTAACAAAAAGCAAGTAAGCATTTGGATAATACAGGGATCACATGGCAGTGATGTTTACCCTTCTTCCGACTTCACCAGGGCCTCCCTGCTTTCCATCATTTCCAGGCTCTCCCTGTAATTTCAGGATAGATACACCAATGAAACACCAGTTAAACAAACACATACACAAAGAAACAGCAACATCAAACCTCTAAAAGAATAACGTGTGTGCAGCAGTAAGTTTTTTTTTGTTATAGCAAAAGAATGAGTTTAGGGTGACATTACCGCTGGTCCAGCATCACCAGGATCTCCTTTTGGCCCTGCTCGATTGTTATCTTGTCCACTGGTTCCCTATTAAACAGATATCACTCACTCAATTTCTGGTACATTCAAACACCCCAAAACACAACTGCCTAAGAAAGTTAAACTAGAACATGTTCCTCTTGAAACACTGATTGCCTGAGAGACTGGCTGAGGGAGAGATGTAAACAGTCACATGATAAACAATCAAATACAACAATTTTTAGTGCTGACCGCTGCTGAGAGTCTTGCTTAAGGGGTTAAGAACAGTGACCCTTGAGAAATAAATTAATGTAACTTAATGACTCAGTGTGATCTGGTCTGGAAATACAATTAATTCAATAATTGCACTATCTTCCCTGACTTTCACTACATTACTTTCAAAGCAAATTGACAAACACAATTTCACTGTATAACTACAAAGTGAATTATGACAAATGGCACGATGACCAGTTTATGTAATACTAACAGGGTCGCCTCTGATTCCCATGTCTCCTATGTCTCCTGCTTGTCCTTTGGCACCTTTAGGACCCTAAAAGCAAACAACAGCAAATAAAAACATTTAACAACACTGACCATTTATGAGTTTTTTAAAAAATGGGCAACAAAACACCAAAATAGCACTCAGTGACTCACTCTTCTGCCAGGGCTTCCTCTGTCTCCTGGGGGCCCAGCCACTCCACTTTTGCCCTGAAAACATGTCAAAGATGTCAGTTGAAGCCCACAATCAACAGAAAGCAAAGCAGACTCACATTTGTAGGAGTCATTTGTCAGACAGCTACAGATATGAAGTGATCATTATGATCCTGTATGATGTGTTGCATATGCAACACGTGGACTGAATGACAAAATCAAATACAAGATACACTTACCTCTTCTCCATTGATGCCATCAAGCCCGATTTCTCCAAATTCACCCTACAACAAGGTAGTATTTGGTTAGGTCATTTTTAGTTAGCCTTTTTCCAACAGCTTTGTCTATTTAAAAAAAAAAAAAAAAAAGCACTTACCTTTTCTCCTGAGTAACCTCGAGAGCCCTGAAAAGAAGAAGCAAAGTGTTACACCATTGTACTGTATAAATACAAAAAAACAATATAGTTTTACAACAAAGAGGTTGAATAACAAAGTTAATATCAAAGTCTTTACCTTGACACCTCTCTGTCCAGGACATCCCTGGAAACCCTGAGTTCCATTCACACCAGGAGGACCTCTCTCTCCCTGTAATTGCAGAATAAAGATGATAAAATACATTAACAAAATACAAAAAGGATGAAATCGGAATGGAGAACACAAAGTGATGGGAAACTAAAAGCATTTGATCAAAAACTTGACATCAGGACAGTTTACAGCAAGATCAACACTAAAGGCACAGACATAACAAGACAGTCAAACTTACAGGTCCACCCTCATCCCCAGGATGTCCTTGGCTTCCTGGTGATCCTGGACTACCCTGAAAGACAAAATGACAAAATGTTAGCTTGTACTAAAAAATATATATATTAAAAAAAAATAAAAGTAAATAAAGGGCATAGGTGCGGAAATGTTTTTGAGAGTCTTTGAAAAGACACCTTAGACCCTGGCTGTCCAACTGCTCCTCTGTCTCCTCTGGTGCCGGTGCATTTACATGGCACTGCACAGCACTCCCTTTCCGCAATATTGTCCTGTGCAGCAAAATAAAGCACAAGTCAAGTAATTTATGGAAAAGATTATTTACATATTTTTATTTTTGATATGACTCTTTAGCACTCACCAGTTCTTCCAAAAGCTCGTAGTCCAAGTCCATGATATTGAGTCGTAAGGGTCTGGTGTACCTGAAGCCACGGCCAAATTCTAGCAGCAAAGCGTCTTCAAATTTGGGTACCCGCTCCAGTCCAACCAAGATGAAAGCATTCACTCCTGTTTAGCAAGAGTTTGATAAGTATATTTATCTTCAGTAACTACCTCAGAATGCTGCATTGTTTTAGTTTCTCAGATGTTTAAGGATCGTGTTACGTCATCTTTTTACCTGAGAGCCGAAGTTCCTCAACTCGCCTTTTCATTTCAGCATACGGGGCATCAAGACCATCAGTCAAATGAATGACAACCTTAATTGGTCAAGGCGAAAAAAACAATTTAGTTTTACACTTTGTATCATTTTCCTGGGTTTCACTGGTAAGTTTAAACCCAGGGTGTCCCAATCAAGTTTTTAAGGCCCTGTCTGATTTTACCTTTATTTTTTAACTAAATGCTGATTAAAATATATATCTGACACCTTGAGCTGTAGAAGACAAAAATTGCCACATTATGTTTCCAAATACTGAGGGTTCACTAGTTAAGAGATTAGCTCAAATGTTGATATATAAATGAAATATTAATTGAATAATGCAATTTCTGAAATTGACAAGACATGCTGCAGAGAAGTGTCACTCTGGTGGAACTACAGAATCAAATCAATCAAGCAAAATTTAGATCAGCATAGCAGACATTAAAACATGCCTAGAACAGTCATGGCTACGATTTTTAGGGTTGGTTTTGGACATCTCTAATTCAAACTGTTTTAGTAACCAACCTTGACAGTGCCGTCCTGTCGTATTTTGAATCTGTTGTTGTAAGCTGAGATGGTCTTGCCGTTAAGGACAAAGGGACCTCGACTCCGCAGGGCTCTGAAAGCCTCAAACAGCTCATCAGCATTGTCTGTGAAGTCTAGCTGGACAGGCTCAGATGCAGAATCCATGGCCAGCATGCCCACTTGGATAGAAGGAATCTGTCCAGCTGAGCAACTGATAGGTGCCATTTTGGAAATCCTGCGCAGAATGGCGCCCATCTTGCTCTGGAGGTTGGTCTGAGCACTGAAGATGTTCTGGGCAGACACATCAAAGCCTACCAACACCTCTATGTTGCAGGCTGTAAAACAGAGCATTACTTTGCTTTAGCCATTTTTTGTTGAAGCACAGAAAGCATCTTAAAGCTTTAACATCTGATTTCTTGTAGCAACTTAAACATGAAAGAGTTTAGCTATAAAGTCTATTAACAACAAAAGAACAATACTATTGGTCTTACTTTTAGGCCCGTCTACCACACCAACACACAGCTTTCCCTTAACTTCATCATCCAAAGTCTCTAGGATTTGTTCATTGAGCTCTGAAAGTTCCTGAAAGGTGCTTGCTCGAGCCACGGTGGAGGGTTCGCTTGCCAGGTTTTCCAACTCATCCTGAATGTTCCCCACTCCCACAGCAAAGATTCTCACACCTTTACTCTTCAAACCAAGGGCTGCTGTTTTGCTGTCATCACCTGAGCGTCCTCCAGTGATAGCAATAAGGATCTGAGGAGTGCCCTCATCAATCCTACTGCCTCTACCTTTGGTGAAGTGAACATCTTGAGCATGGCGAATGGCTGCACCGGTGTTGATTCTACGTCCACCTTTGTACTCAACTCGGCCAATGGCATTTAGAATGTCTTGCCTGTCCTTGTAGGTGTTGAGGTAAAAGGCGTCAGTCACATCTGTAGCATAATGTGCCAGACCAATCCGTAGGTCATCTCTATCAGTATAGAACAAATCAATTAGGTTGTTGATAAATGACATCACTTCGTTAAAGTTGTCCCGACCCAAATTAATGGAGCCATCCACCAAAAACACTATGTCAGCCTTTTTAGGTGGAGGCAGGCCATCAGCTGTAAGAAGAGAGAAAAAGTTTTGTTTAAATATGTATCTGCATTGAGAAAGACGTTAGAACCAAAACATGTGTAAATTATCTGAGGTATGTGGAAATGTTTGCTTTAACTTACTGGGTGGGTCAAAAGTTGGTGGGTCAATGATGGACCCTCTCAACCTGGCAATAAACCTGTCCTTTATAGCTGGGAGGCCAGGGAAGGTAGGAACCGGAATTACATCCTCTGAAGTGGTACTTATTTGGCTTAACTGTCTTGTGTCAGCCCCACCAGCTCCAATACCGATGCAGTTCACCCGAGAGCCCTTCAGCAGTGGTCCATAGATGGAAACATCTTGGGTAGAGCGTCCACCTGTGAGAACTACAAGATGCTGGGAGGCCTCCGATGGACGAACTCCGGCAGTAAGTTTCAACTCATTCTGTATGACGTACTCAATGGCATTCGCCAGTTCTGATGACCGTCCACCCATCTGACGAAGTCTTTTGATGGCAGAGATAACAGCTGGCTTGTTGTTGTGTGAGTTGAGTGAGAACTCTGTTTTAACTCTGTCAGCGTACTGGACAACGGCCACACGCACTTGATCAGGCTGCACATCAAGTTGTTGGACAATGTTGAGGATGAAATCACGGATATGAGCAATCCCAGCAGGACCTGTAGTGTCTGAGCCATCAATAAGAAAGATAATGTCCTTTCTCCCAAGGTCCAGGTTTGCTGAAAAGTAAGCACAACAAGGAGAAAAAGAAACACACTTTGTTGAGAAATATATTGTAAAAATAATATAGCCATAAGATTTTTTTTTTTTCATTCTACAACTGTAGCAGCAACAAGTAAATGTTGAAACGCACATAATGAAAATTATTCAGTAATTGCTTTTAGCAGTTTGAACTTGAACGTAGTGTAAATATTAAATATATAACATGTCTTACCGAGGTCCACTACAGGAGGAACATAACTACTGACGATATCGGCCGTGGACATTGTTGTGACTGAATCGATGATCTGTGACTCCACTCTTGGAAGCTGTTGGAAACTGTCAACTGTATATGCAAGCTCTGGCTTGAGAGAAATCTGTCTCAATTCGTCTGAGTCTGCATTCCGTGAACCAATGGCAAGAGGTGCAACCTGGCTTCTCTTGAGTTGTTCAGCTGGCGCGGACACATCATCTGCGGACTTGCCACCTGTAACTAGAATGAGGAACTGAGGCACACCCTCCTCAATGCGGCTTCCTGCTGCCCTCTGGTAGATGTTTCTGCCAACAAACTCAATTGCCTGACCCGTGTTTAAGCGATTACCGCCTTTGCTTCGAAGTCTCATCACAGCCTGGCGTACCTCATTTTTGCTGGACAGTTCATTTAGAAGAAATTCTGTCTTTGGTTCATCACTGTACTGCACCACTGAAACTCGGACCTTGTCCAATCCAATATCCAGCTTCTCCACAACTCTTCTTATCATGTCACGGATGGAAGGGAACTCGCTGCGCACCGCGGTCGTGCCATCAATTAGAAATACGACATCCCTCTTTTCTCCTCCTGCAGGTACTGGTGTGATTACTGTTCAAAAGAATACAAGCACAGTCACAAGGTGTGATTATTGTTACTTAAGACAAAGTTCCTATACATATACAAGACATACAGTATGACTGAGAAAGTTGAATGAATACTATAAAAATAAATATTTCTTTGTCAAAATTTAATTAAATCAATTAACCGTCATAAGTCGGGAACTCCGGACGCATCCTGGCGATGTCATCATCTGACAGCTCAGTGAGAGTGTTGATTAAGTTTTCTTGGACTGTGTACAAGCCAGGGAGGTCATCTACAGTGAAGGCAAAGTTGGACACATATGACACCACCCGCAGCTCTGTGGGGTTAACATCCCTTGTCCCAATGCTGAAAGGAAGAACTCTAGATTGTTTGAGGGAAGACGCTGCACGATTGACATCATCTGTAGAAGGGCCACTGGACACGGCAATCACAAACTGCGGTACGCCCTCTTGCTTTCTGCTACCCCGTGCTGCTGTCAGTACATCCTGACTGACAAATTGCAATGCTTGACCCAGGTTACGTTGTCTACCTCCTCGATGGCTCATTTCCCTGATCCCATTCAAAACTCCTTCTTTAGTTGTATGCGTGTTCAGGTACATGTCAGCCTGAGCAAAGTCACCATACTGGACCACACCAATCCGGATTTTGTTCTCCCCCACATTGAGACTCTCCACGACCCGGCGGATGAACTCCTGGATGATAGCAAATTCCCGTCCAACACCATCGGATCCATCAACGAGGAAAACAACATCCTTCCGGGGGCCCTGGGACTCAGCTGAAAGAGAAAGAGAAAGAGACGGGGAAATTATGTTCTGCCTTAGAAGTGATCAAAATATTCAAATAAAGCATAAAGGAAATGTACACATGCAATTACACATCATTGTGTAATACATAGCCTTTATAGCATTGCCTCTCAAAACAAGGCACGTCTGTCCGCAAACAAATAAAATAAAAATAAAATAAGGGAAGAAGGGACTTTTTCTATTGTTCCTTCTTTCAAAAAAAGAACCTCCATGCTCCCTTCCTGAGATCCATCAGTATAACTTGCTTCAGGACTTTAAATACAAACTGAGACATCTCAGTCCGAATGAGTCAGTTAAGCCTCATACTTATGTTAGTACATGTTTGTCCTGCTGACATGGTTACTATAAACACAGTTAAAAAAAACAAAAAAACAATCTCTTTCACAAGTTTTTTTTTTTTTGTTGCTCCTCAAGCAAATGAATGTTCAAGCTGTGTGCCTATCTCTCGCTGTCTCTTTTTTCCTCACTTGCTCTACCTATTTCCTTCTCCCTGTCCTCTCCTCACTCAGGTTTCTTTATGTTTGGCCATTGGCCGTCCTGGGAATTCTTTCTGTTCCCCGGCTGTCAGCATTTCATTCCAGATGTTTTGGATTTGGATTCTGCTTCTTTTCTTTTCTTTTCTTTTCTCTCTTGCTCTGTCTATCTTCTCTGTATCTCTATCCTCTATGTTCTGTGTATTTGTTTCCTCGTTTGCATATGTATGAATGTTGTGCTCGAGTTTTGCCTTTCGTGTAGTCTGCCCACTCTTTGTGGTGAAGAGAAGGCTGTGTGGCTCAGGTCCAATCCGTTTGATTTGGTCATAAGCATGCATTAAAACATGTTTTAAAGCTATGAACTGTTTCAAAAAGAATTATTTTAATATTTGTTTCATTTTATGTTTTTATGTTAGTTGCTCTCTTTTTAGTGTTGCATGTTTATTTTCGATTGGTGCACAATGTGTTCCGCTTTCATGTTTTGGATGTCAGAGGTGGCATCGTAACATCAAGTGTAAGTCTTGTTCATATAGTTATAATATTCTCATTATTTTAATGATTGTGCTTTTTTTCTGGACTAAAGCTTTTTTGGCCCATTATGAATGCTTGTCATGTAGTGCATCTTTCAGAAACGAAATTATCTTAAAAAAAAAAAAATTAAAAGATTCCAAATACTACCTTAATGATGAAGGTGAGCCTGTCATTGACAGACAATTGCATAAATGCAACCTAGTTCGCAACAATCTGGAATTAGTGTGGAAAATGAACCTCTGTTGTACAAACATGACAGAAAATTATATCAAAAGAGAGAACATGGTTAGGATGAAAAAGAATATTGATAAGGTGAATGAAATGAAAAAGAAAGTTTAATCACTTTGCAGTGGAAAGAATGGGACAAGGTTTCCTGGTGTCCTTTTGTGAGATAAGCATTGATGTTTCCTTTGTTTCAGCAACATTCATGACTATCACTAGAATCAAGAATGTCCTTGTTTGAAGAGTCTTGATATGCAAACTCACTTATCATCGATGAGTTCTCACTTGCAAACCCACAAGTAGCAACCACATTACAATACATTTCTAATTTAAAATGAAAAAAGTGGCAAAGCCATAAATAAATGTTGTGGTACAAATACTGTAAGTATCATAGTCTTATTTAAAGATTCGAAATAGGATATGACTTTTAGGTTGAAAGAGGTTACATCACAAACACAATGACAGTAATTAGCCTGCAGAGTCTGTGTTACGTCCCCGAGTGGCGTGTGCCTTCCTTCCCTATAGTGAACCCTTCCTCATCTTCATGTGAGTGAAGATGATTGGTTTTGTGGGCTCCTGATCAGGACTGGTTCATGTGCATTCTCCACATTCTGTTTACCATCTTGGCTGATTGGCCTGGAGCTTCAGTCCTGTACTCTAGCCCTCATTTATCTCCATATTTATCCTTTCGACTGATGGGACCGCTGTCGTATCCCGTGTTCCAGTCAAGCTGCAGCAGTCGCTACACCTGTGTATCTGAACTGCCAGTGTGAGCAGCTGTGATTTAATGTGAAGAGCTCACCTCTGTACCTCTTGCTGTCTTTGTCTTGTCTTTCTCAATCTGAAAAACTTGGTAGTAGCTTTGTGTTTCTCTGTATCTGCTACAAGGCGGTTACTCGTCGTATTTTGTGTATTCTGTGATCATGTGATCACTTACTGGTGGTTACTCAGTCTGTTGTGTATTCTGTGGCTGCTTGACAGTGGTTACTTGTGAATCATAATATTGTGATTTCTTGTTCTGATACACTTCCCCAACTACCTGACATCTAAACCAAGCACATTTTATTTTACAAACGGGTACACTATCGGCAGTTGTTCTTTGTTATTACGTAGAATGAGTAGAGAGTTTAGTTGTTTTATTTTGTAATTTACTGAACAAGGGGAAAACTGTTATTCCCCTTTCAATCTAGTTTCACTGATTTATTAAGTCCAAAAAGCCCTGTTTTCTTACCGATTTTCCTTCCGTTAGCTGTTAAAAATGCTACTGAGCAATGAATGATTTTACTAGACAGAAAACAACTGGATTTATATGGCTTCTCCGAACACTAGCAGACCTAGGGTGTACCAGTGTGGTACCTTTTAGAAATGTTATCTATTTCATCTATAATAACTGCCATGGCATGTAAGTTTGTTGATTTTACAACGATGTAAAATGTGAAGGAACTTCAAGTTGATGTTATGAATGAAAACACTATCAAATTACAAACATCTTTGGGTTGATTTAGTGGGAGTGCTAAAAAAAAAAAAGGTGGGAAAAAAATACGTAGATTTGTAACTGTGCTCTGTATGAGTGAAAGACGTTATTTTCCTTGTGTATTAAAGAAAATGTATGTGTTATGGTACAATGGGGAAGGAAGAGTTCAAGTGGAAGATTGGAAAGAAAGAGGGAATGGTTAACATACCAAGGAGATTTGGTAGTTGAGGAGTGACATCAACAAGCAAATATTCTAT